TGCTTTTTACATCAAGATGAGATGTTAATAAATGTAAGTGTTCTTGTTATATTATTATTCCTCCTCTCTTTACATCAAGATGAGGATGTTAATAAATGTAGAAGTTGTTCTTGTTATATTATTATTCCTCCTCTTTACATCAAGATGAGGATGTTAATAAATGTAGAGAAGTTGTTCTTGTTATATTATTATTCCCTCTCTCTTTACATCAAGATGAGGATGTTAATAAATGTAGAGAAGTTGTTCTTGTTATATTATTATTCCCTCTGCTCTTTACATCAAGATGGGGATGTTAATAAATATAGAGAAGTTGTTCTTGTTATTATTATTCTGCTCTTTACATCAAGATGGGGATGTTAATAAATATATAGAAGTTGTTCTTGTTATATTATTCCCTCCTGCTCTTTACATCAAGATGAGGATGTTAATAAATGTAGAGAATTGTTCTTTTTTATTCCTCTACTCTTTACATCAAGGAGGGATGTTAATAAATGTAGAGAAGTTGTTCTTGTTATATTATTATTCCCTCTCTCTTTTACATCAAGATGAGGGATGTTAATAAATATGAGAGGTTTTCTTGTTATATTATTATTCCCTCCTCTCTTTACATCAAGATGGGATGTTAATAAATGTAGAGAAGTTTTCTTGTTATATTATTATTCCTGCTCTTTACATCAAGATGAGGATGTTAATAAATGTAGAGAAGTTGTTCTTGTTATATTATTATTCCCTCCTCTCTTTTCAAGATGAGGTTAATAAATGAGAAGTTTTTCTTGTTATATTATTATTCCCTCTCTCTTTACATCAAGATTAGGATGTTTAAAATAGTGAAGTTTTTCTTGTTATATTATTCCCTCCTCTTTTTTTACATCAAAATGTAGAGGATGTTATTATTCCCTCTAAATATAGAGAGGGATGTTGTTCTTGTTATCTTATTATTCCTCCTCTCTTTACATCAAGATGAGGATGTTAATAAATGTAGAGAAGTTGTTCTTGCCCTATTATTATTCCTCTGCTTTTTTACATCAAGATGAGGATGTTAAATAGAAATATTATTCCCTCCTCTTACATCAAGATGGGGATGTAATAAATATAGAAGTTTTTCTTGTTATATTATTTCCTCTGCTCTTTACATCAAGATGAGGATGTTAATAAATGTATGAAGTTGTTCTTGTTATATTATTATTCCTCTCTCTTTACATCAAGATGAGGATGTTAATAAACGTAGAAAGTTGTTCCCTCTCTCTTTACATCAGATGAGGATGTTAATAAATATAGAGAAGTTGTTCTTGTTATATTATTATTCCTCAAGATGAGATGTTAATAAATGTAGAGAAGTTGTTTCTTTATTATGTCTCTCTCTTTTACATCAAAGATGAGGATGTTAATAAATTTAAGAGAAGTTTTCTTGTTATTATTATTCTCCTTTTTACATCAAGATGAGGATGTAATAAATGTAGAGAATTTTTCTTCCTATTGTTATTCCTCCTTCTTTACATCAAGATGAGGATTCCCTAGAGAATTTGTTGTTATATATATTATTCCCTCTTCTTTTTACATCAAGATGAGGATGTTAATAAATGTAGAGAAGTTTTTCTTGTTATATTATTATTCCTCCTCTTTCATCAAGATGAGGATGTTAATAAATGTAGAGAAGTTTTCTTCATTTATATTACTTCCCTCTTCTCTTTACATCAGATGAGGATGTTATAAATGTAGAGAATTATTTCTTATTATATTATTATTCCCTCTTCTCTTTTTACATCAAGATGAGGATGTTAATAAATATAAGAAGTTGTTCTGTATCTATTCCCTTCTTCTTCTTCAAGATTATGTTATTAAATTAGTTGTTCTTGTTATATTATTATTCCCCTCTTCTCTTTCCCTTCTTCTTGAGATATTAATCTTAGAGAAATATTTTGTTTTACATCCTGAGGATGTTAATAAATATAGAGAATTATTTCCTTGTTATATTATTATTCCCTTCTTCTTACATCAAGATGAGGATGTTATTATTATTCTTATTTATTATTATTCCTCTCTTTACATCAAGATGAGGATGTTAATAAATATAGAGAAGTTGTTCTTGTTATATTATTCCTCTTCTTTTTCCCAAGATGAGGATGTTAATAAATATAGAGAAGTTGTTCTTATTATTATTCCTCTGCTTTTTACATCAAGATGAGGATATTAATAAATATATAGTTGTTCTTGTTATATTATTATTCCCTCCTCTCTTTACATCAAGATGAGGATGTTAATAAATATAGAGAAGTTGTTCTTGTTATATTATTATTCCCTCTTTCTTTTTACATCAATATAGAGAAAGGGATTTAATAAATCTTGTTAAGAAGTTGTTCTTATATTATTATTCCCTCCTCTCTTTACATCAAGATGAGGATGTTAATAAATATAGAAGTTGTTCTTGTTATATTATTATTCCCTTCTTTTTACATCAAGATGAGGGATGTTAATAAATGTAGTTGTTCTCATTATATTATTATTCCTCTTCTCTTTACATCAAGATGAGGATGTTAATTGTAGAGAAGTTTTTTCTTGTTATATTATTATTCCCTCTTCCTTTACATTCTTTAAGATAGGATGTTAATAAATGTTTTGTTCTTCTTATATTATTCCTTCTTCTCTTTACATCAGATATTATTAATAAATAGTTGTTCTTGTTAGTTAACCTTAGTTTTCATTTGTATTATTATTATTCCCTCTGCTCTTTTTACATCAAGATGAGGGATGTTAATAAATATAGAGAGTTGTTCTTGTTATATTTTTTTCAAGATGAGGATGTTAATAAATTAATTGTTCCCTTATTCCTCTCTCTACATCAAGAAGAGGGATGTTAATAAATATAGAAGTTGTTCTTTTTATATTATTATTCCCTCCTCCTTTACATCAAGAATAGGATGTTAATTAGAAAGTTGTTCTTGTTATATTATTATTCCCTGTTTCTCTTTACATCAAGATGAGGATGTTAATAAATAAGTTGTTCTTGTTATTATGTATTCCTCTGCTCTTTTCAAGATGAGGGATGTTAATAAATTATTATTTCCCTCTCTTCTCTTTACGTCAAGATGAGGGATGTTAATAAATGTAGAAGTTGTTCTTGTTTATGTTATTATCATTCCTCTTCTTTTTTACATCAGATGAGGATGTTAATAAATGTAAATGAAGTTGTTCTTGTTATATTATTATTCCCTCTGCTCTTTCATCAAGATGAGGATGTTAATAAATGTGTAGAAGTTGTTCTTGTTATATTATTATTCCTCTCTCTTTACATCAAAGATGAGGATGTTAATAAATAGAGATTGTTCTTGTTATATTATTTTTCTCTGCTTTTTACATCAAGATGATTGTTCTTGGATCTTGATAAATATTAGAAGTTGTTCTTGTTATATTATTATTCCCTCTTCTTTTTACATCAAGATGAGGATGTTAATAAATATAGAGAAGTTGTTCTTGTTATATTATTATTCCCTCTGCTCTTTACATCAAGATGAGGATGTTAATAAATATAGAGAAGTTGTTCTTGTTATATTATTATTCCCTCTTCTTTTTACATCAAGATGAGGATGTTAATAAATATAGAGAAGTTGTTCTTGTTATATTATTATTCCCCTCTTTTTACATCAAGATGAGGATGTTAATAAAATAGAGAAGTTGTTCTTGTTATATTATTATTCCTCTTTCTACATCAAGATGGGGATGTTAATAAATGTAAAGTTGTTCTTGTTATATTATTATTCCCTCCTCTCTTTACATCAAGATGAGGATGTTTTGCTCCTGTTATATTATTATTCCTCTCTTTTGATGAGGATGTTAATAAATGTGTTCATTTTCCTTCTTGTCCATATTATTTCCTCCTCTTCTTTTACATCAAGATTATTTTTAATAAAGATGAGGAAGTTATTTCTTGTTATATTATTATTCCCTCTTCTCTTTTACATCAAAGATGAGGATGTTAATAAATATAGAAGTTGTTCTTGTTATATTATTATTCCTCCTCTCTTTTACATCAAGATGAGGATGTTAATAAATGTAGTAGAGTTGTTCTTGTTATATTATTATTTCCCTCTTCTCTTTACATCAAGATGAGGATGTTAATAAATGTAGAGAAGTTGTTCTTTTTTATTATTATTCCCTCCTCTTTTACATCAAGATCAAGGATGTTAATAAATATAGAGAAGTTGTTCTTATATATTGTATTCCCTCTTACTCTTTACATCAAGATTAGGATGTTTCTTAGACAAATATAGAGAGTTCTCCATTATATTATTATTCCCTCTTCTCTTTACATCAAGATTAGGATGTTAATAAATTAGAAGTTGTTATTATTATTATTATTCCTCTGCTCTTTTACATCAAGATGAGGATGTTAATAAATGTAGAAGTTGTTCTTATTATATTATTATTCCTCTTCTCTTTACATCAAGATTATTGTTAATAAATGTGAAAGTTGTTCCCCTCTTCCTCTATCTTTCATCAAGATGAGGGATGTTCTAAATGTAGAGGAGTTTTCTTGTTCCTATTATTCCCCTCTGCTCTTCCCATGAGGGATGTTAATAAATGTTAGGTTTTTCTTGTTATTATTATGCTCTTTACATTCCCCTCTTCCTGTTCCTTCTTCTTCAGGTTTTTCTTGTTATTTATTATTCCTCATCCTTTACATCATCCTGAGGATGTTAATAATTATTATTAGTTGTTCTTGTTATATTATTATTCCTCTGCTCTTACACATCTTCTTTATCCTCATAAATATGAATTTGTTCTTCTTATGTTATTATTCCATCTTTTTCTTCATTCCCATGTTAATAAATATTATTGTTCTTGTTATATTATTATTCCCTCTTCCTTTTTCTTCAAGATTTATCCTCATCTTCTTCAGTTTTCTTACTTCTCCTTCTTATTCCTCTGCTTCTTTTTCATCAAGATTAGGATGTTATAAATGTAGAAAGTTGTTCCTCTGCCTTTCCTCTGCTTTCTTCAAGATGGGGATCTTCTTCATTTTCTCTTATATTCCTATTCACCATCCTGGGGATGTTAATAAATATAGAAGTTATTCTTGTTATATTATTATTCCCTCTGCTTTCCTTCTTCTTTATCCTCATCTTCTTCATTTTCTACTTCTCTATCCTGTTCACCATCCTCTTCTTCTTCCATTATTATTATTATTATTATTATTATTATTATTCCTCTCTTTAGCCTCCTTCTTCTTTATCCTCATCTTTAACCATTTCTCTTCTCATCGTACTGCATCCTCTTCTTCTTTACCCATTATTATTATTATTGTATTATTATTCCCCCTCTGCCTTTTCCTTCTTCTTTATCTCTGTCTTCTTCATTTTCTACTTCTCATCCTATTCACCATCCTCTTCTTCTTACATTATTATTATTATTATTATTTCCTCTGTTTTTTTACATCAAGATGAGGATGTTAATGTTCTTTTTCTTGTTATATTATTATTCCTCCTCTCTTACATCAAGATGAGGATGTTTAACGTAGAAAGTTTTTCTTGTTATATTATTATTCCTTCTTACATCAAGATGGTATGTTAAGCCAAATGTAGAGGAGTTTTTCTTATATATTATTATTTCTGCTCTCTTTACATCAAGATGAGATGTTAATAAATATTCATCAAGATGAGGATGTTAAACGTAGAGAAGTTGTTCCTCATCTCTGCTTTTACATCAAGATGAGGATGTTAATAAATATAGAAGTTGTTCTTGTTATATTTCCATTCCTATTCATCATCAGTTGTTCTTTATATTATTTCTTCCCATCTTGTTATATTATTATTCCTCTGTTTTTACATAAGATTATGTTTAATTAGTTGTTCTTGTTATATTATTATTCCCCTCTGCCTTGTTATATTAGTATTCCTTCTTTTCCCCTTTCTTGAGGATGTTTTATGTGAAGTTGTTCCTCTTCTTATTCCTCTCTCTTTACATTGAGGATTATTATAGCAAGTTGTTCTTGTTATTATTATTATTCCTTCCTCTCTTTACATCCTCATCTTCTTCATAAATGCCAAGTTGTTCTTGTTATGTATTATTCCCTCCATCCTAGATGGGGATGTTGTAAATGTAGAGAAGTTGTTTTATGCTTCTTCCCAAGATGAGATGTTAATAAATTATTATTGTTCTTGTTATATTATTATTCCCCTCTGCCTTTTTCCTTGTTCTTTATCTCATCTTCTTCATTTTCTACTTCTCCATCTATTCCCTCATCTTCTTCTCAAGATGAGGATGTTTAATATTATTATTATTATTCCTCTCCTTTTCCTTCTTCTTTATGAAGTTATTTACTTTATTTTTACTTCTCAAGATAGGATGTTAATCATCTTCTTCTTTATTATTATTATTATTATTATTATTATTCCCCTCTTCCTTTTCCTTCTTCTTCCTCCTTCTTCTTCATTTCTACTTCTCCATCCTATTCTATCATCTTCTTCTTCCATTATTATTATTATTCCTCTTCCTTTTCTTCTTCTTTTATCCTCATCTTTTCATTTCTACTTCTCATCCTATTCACCCATCACATCTTCTTCTTTCTACATTATTATTATTATTATTATTATTATTCCTCTTCTTTTCCTTCTTCTCCACTCATCTTCTTCATTTCTTCTTCTCCATCCTATTCACCATCCTCTTCTTATTATTGTTATTATTATTATTATTATTATTCTTCCTCTTCCTTTTATTTTATCCTCATCTTCTTCATTTCTCCTCCATCCTATTCATCATCGTCTTCTTCTTCCCATTATTATTATTATTATTATTATTATTATTCCCCTCTGCCTTTTCCTTCTTCTTTTATCCTCATCTTCTTCATTTTCTACTTCTCCATCCTATTCACCATCCTCTTCTTCTTCTTATTATATTATTATTATTATTATTATTATTCCCTCATTTTTCTTCTTCTTATCCTCATCTTCTTTGTTTTCTACTTCTCCTATTGCCATCTCTTCTTCCCCATTATTATTATTATTATTATTATTATTATTCCCCTCTGCACCTTTTCCTTCTTCTTTATCCTCTGTCTTCTTCATTTTCTACTTCTCATCTATTCACCATCTTCTTCTTCTTATTATTATTATTCTTCCCTCTTCCTTTTCCTTCTTCTTTATTCATCTTCTTTTTTACTTCTCCCTCTGCATCATCTTCTTCTTCATTATTATTATTATTATTATTATTTTCCCTCTTCTTTTTCCTTCTTCTTTATCTTCTTCTTCTTCTTACATTATTCACCATCCTATTCTTTATTATTATTATTATTATTATTATTCTTATTATTCCTCTTCTTTTTATCCTCTATCATCATCTTCTTCATTTTCTACTTCTCCATCCTATTCACCATCTTCTTCTTCTTCCCATTATTATTATTATTATTATTATTTTATTATTATTATTCCCCTCTGCCTTTTCCTTCTTCTATTATCCTCATCTTCTTCATTTCTACTTCTCATCTATTCACCATCTTCTTCTTCTTTTCCCATTATTATTATTATTATTATTATTATTATTCCCTCTGTCTTTTCCTTCTTCTTTATCCTCATCTTCTTCATTTTCTACTTCTCACAATCCTATTCTCCATCCTCTTCTTCTTCTTCCTTTTATTATTATCCTCCTCTTCTTCATTTTCTTCCATCCTATTCACCATTTCTTCTTCTTTATCCTCATCTTCTTTATTTTCCCTCTTCTCCATCCTATTCTTCGTCTTCATTTTCTTCTTCCATTATTCTTCTTCTTGTATTATTATTATTTCCCCTCTTCATTCTTATCTTTATCCTCATCTTCTTCCATTTCTACTTCTCCATCCTATTCCTGTCTTCTTCTTCTTCCCATTATTATTATTATTGTATTATTATTGTGTGTGTATCCCCTCTGCCTTTCCTTCTTCTTTATCCTCATCTTCATTTTCTACTTCTCCATCCTATTCATCATCTTCTTCTTCTTCCCATTATTATTATTGTGTATTTATTATTCCCCTCTTGCCTTTTCCTTCTTCTTTATCCTCATCTTCTTCATTTTCTACTTCTCCATCCTATTCACCCATCATCTTCTTCTTCCCCATTATTATTATTATTTTTATTATTATTATTCCCCTCTGCCTTTCCTTCTTCTTTATCCTCATGCCTTCATTTTCTCTTCTCCATCCTATTCACCATCTTCCTTCTTCTTCTTTGTATTATTATTGTATTCCCTCTGTCTTTTCCTTCTTCTTTATCCTCATCTTTTACCATTTCTACTTCTCCATCCTATTCCCATCATCCTCCTTTATTCTTTATTATTATTATTATTGTATTCCCCTCTTCCTTTTCCTTCTTCTTTATCCTCATCTTCTTCATTTTCTGCTTCTCCATCTATTCACCATCCTCTTCTTCTTCCCATTATTATTATTATTATTATTATTATTCCCTCCTCTTCCTTTTCCTTCTTCTTTTATCCTCATCTTCTTCATTTTCTACTTCTCCATCCTATTCACCATCATCTTCTTCTTCCATTATTATTATTATTATTATTATTATTCCTCTTCCTTTTCCTTCTTCTTATCCTCATCTTCTTCATTTTCTTTCTCATCCTATTCACATCCTCTTCTTCTTCCATTATTATTATTATTATTATTATTTCCCCTCTGCCTTTATTCTTCTTTATCCTCGTCTTCTTCTTTTCTACTTCTCCATCCTATTCATCTTCTTCTTCTTCCCCATTATTATTATTATTATTATTATTATTATTCCCTCTTCCTTTTCCTTCTTCTTTATCCTCATCTTCTTGTTTTCTACTTCTCCATCCTATTCACCATCCTCTTCTTCTTCCATTATTATTATTATTTTTATTATTATTATTATTCCCCTCTGCCTTTTCTTCTTTATCCTCATCTTCTTCATTTTCTTCTCATCCTATTCCCATCTTCTTCTTCTTTTCCCCATTATTATTATGTGTATTATTATTATTCCCTCTTCCCTTTTCCTTCTTCTTTATCCTCATCTTCTTCATTTCTACTTCTCCATCCTATTCACATCCTCCTTCTTCTTCTTATTATTATTATTATTATTATCTGCCTTTTCCTTCTTCTTTTTTCTTCTTTACATTTCTTTCCTATTCATCATCATCTTCTTTCCCATTATTATTATTATTTTATTATTACTTCCCTTTTCTCTTCATCCTCATCTTCTTCATCTTCTCTTCTTCCCATCCTCTTCTTCTTATTATTATTATTATTGTTCCCCTCTTCTTTTTCCTTCTTCTTTATCCTCATCTGCTTCATTTTTTCTTCTCATCCTATTCACCATCTTCTTCTTCTTCCATTATTATTATTATTATTATTATTATTATTCCCCTCTGCCTTTTCCTTCTTCTTTATCCTCATCTTCTTCATTTTTCTTCTCCATCCTATTCATCATCATCTTCTTCTTCCCATTATTATTATTATTTTTATTATTATTATTATTCCCCTCTGCCTTTTCCTTCTTCTTTATCCTCATCTTCTTCATTTCTGCTTCTCCATCCTATTCTGTCATCTTTCTTCCCCATTATTATTATTATTATTATTATTATTTTTCTTCTTTGTACATATATATTCCCTTCTTCCTTTTCCTTTTCTTCTTCTTATCCTCATCTTCTTCATTTTTTTCTATCTTCTTCTCATCCTATTCTTTCCCATCATCTTCTTCTTCTCCATTATTATCCTCTTCTTTATTATTATTATTATTATTATTCCCTCTTCTTTTCCTTCTTCTTTATCCTCATCTTCTTCATTTCTACTTCTCCATCCTATTCATCATCATCTTCTTCTATTTCCATTATTATTATTATTATTATTATTCCCTCTGCCTTTCCTTCTTCTTTATCCTCATCTTCTTCATTTCTTCTCCCATCCTATTCATCATCATCTTCTTCTTCCCATTATTATTATTATTATTATTATTGTTTATTCCCCTGCCTTTTTTTCCTTCTTTATCCTCATCTTCTTCATTTTCTACTTCTCCATCCTATTCACCATCTTCTTCTTCTTCCATTATTATTATTATTATTATTATTATTATTCCCCTCTTTCCTTTTCCTTCTTCTTTCCTCCTCATCTTCTTCATTTCTCTTTCTCAAATCCTTCACCATCCTCTTTATTCTTATTATTATTATTATTATTATTATTTCCTCTTCCTTTTCCTTCTTCTTTATCCTCATCTTCTTTATTTTCTACTTCTCCATCCTGTTCACCAATCATCTTCTTCTTCCCATTATTATTATTATTATTATTATTATTATTATTTCCTCTTTTTCCTTCTTCTTTATCCTCATCTTCTTTATTTTTTCTTCTCCATCCTAACCACCCATCTTCTTCTTCTTCCATTTATTATTATTATTATTATATTATTATCTGCCCCCTTCTTCCTTTTCATTTTCTGCTTACTCCATCCCTCCCCACCCATCTTCTTCTTCCCATTATTAGTTTATTATTCTTTTTCCTTCTTATTCATTTCCTCTTCTTCTTCCCATCTTCTTCTTCCCCCATTATTATTATTATTATTATTATTATTCCCTCTTCCTTTCCTTCTTCTTTGTCCTCATCTTCTTCCATTTTCTACTTCTCCATCCTATTCATCATCATCTTCTTCTTCCATTATTATTATTATTTTTATTATTATTATTATTCCCTCTGCCTTTCCTTCTTCTTTTTATCTCATCTTCTTCATTTTTCTTCTCATCCTATTCACCATCCTCTTCTTCTTCCCATTATTATTTTTATTATTATTATTATTCCCCTCTTCCTTTCCTTCTTCTTTTATCCTCATCTTCTTCATTTTCTACTTCTCCATCCTATTCATCATCATCTTCTTCTTCCATTATTATTATTATTTTTTATTATTATTATTCCCCTCTGCCCTTTTTCCTTCTTCTTTATCCTCATCTTCTTCATTTTCTTCTCCATCCTATTCATCATCATCTTCTTCTTCCATTATTATTATTATTTTTTTTTATTATTATTCCCCTCTGCCTTTTCTTCTTCTTTATCCTCATCTTCTTCATTTTCTACTTCTCCATCCTATTCATCCTCTTCTTCTTCCCATTATTATTATTTTTTTTTATTATTATTATTATTCCTCTTTTTTCCTTCTTTTCCTTTTCCATTTTTCTTCTTTATCCTCATCTTCTTCCATTATTATTATTATTTTTATTGTTATTTTTCTGCCTTTTCTCCATCTTCCTATTCACCATCATCTTCTTCTTCCCATTATTATTATTTTTTATTATTATTATTATTGCCTTTTCCTTCTTCTTTATCTTCATCTTCTTCCATTTCTACTTCTCCATCCTATTCATCCTCTTCTTCTTCCCATTATTATTATTATTTTATTATTATTATTATTATTATTATTCCCCTTCTTTCCTTCTTCTTTATCCTCATCTTCTTCATTTTCTGCTTCTCATCCTATTCACCATCATCTTCTTCTTCCCATTATTATTTATTATTATTCCCCCTGCCTTTTTCCTTCTTCTTTATCCTCATCTTCTTCATTTCTACTTCTCCCTATTCTCATCATCTTCTTTTCCCATTATTATTATTATTATTATTCCCCTCTTCCTTTTTCCTTCTTCTTTATCCTCATCTTCTTCATTTTCTACTTCTCCATCCTATCACCCATCATCTTCTTCTTCCATTATTATTATTATTATTATTATTATTATTATTCTTCCTTTTCCTTCTTCTTTATCCTCATCTTCTTCATCTTCTACTTCTCCATCCTATTCACCATCATCTTCTTCTTCCCATTATTATTATTATTATTATTATTATTATTATTCCCCTCTGCCTTTTCCTTCTTCTTTATCCTCATCTTCTTCATTTTCTACTTCTCCATCCTATTCACCATCTTCTTCTTCTTCCATTATTATTATTATTATTATTATTATTTCCCCTATTTCCCTTCTTCCTTTTCCTTCTTCTTTTATCCTCATCTTCTTCATTTTCTACTTCTCCATCCTATTCACCATCATCTTCTTCTTTCCATTATTATTATTATTCCCCTCTGCCTATTCCTTCTTCTTAATCCTCATCTTCATTTTCTACTTCTTTTTTCAATAATTATAATGATGTTCAGAACTTGATTACATTTTACCAGAAAGAATATTAAAACAAATTCACGTTAAATTTATTTAAATACTATTTAATAGTTTTAAAGAAATCTGTTGTTTTGGGGGTTTTTTTTTTTTTTTTCGTAAAGAAATCTTTTAAAAGACTTTTTCAAGTTCTTTGTTTCTCAATGTTCTGCCACTTTTGAAATGTTCTAGAGATCGAGGTAAATGGGAAAAAAAATATAGTTGATAAAACTGGAGAGTATAGCGCCTTTGGAAGAACCTCTCATCTTAACAATTTTTCGTGGGTTGTTCTGCAGAGTATGCCCCTCTCATTGTCATATAGAAGAAAACCTTTTCTATTTACCAATACAGGACCACTTCGGTGTACGGCCTCGTTTATCAAGTCAATTTGTTGAATAAACATTTGCAGTGATGGTTGTTCCATGTTACAGTATCTTGTAATGGGCAACTCCTTTCATATTCCATTATATACAAAGCAATTAATTCTGTGGTTGAAGGCCTGGTTTTAGTGTTGGCATTTTTTTCTTTTTTTTTTTTTCTTTTTTGTTCTTTTTTTTTTGTGCCAGCTATTTCTTTTTTCTGTTATCATGCAAATCCCATTTTTCATCACCTATAACAATGTGACGCAAAAATGAAAGTTTCATATGCCTGGTTAAAACATTGTTTGATTGATGCGTTTTCTATGGTTTATCAAACCTTTGTAGGTTATTTAAAGCCAGGAAATATTTTTAGATTGCAAGAATCGGGGTGGGGAGATAATAATGATGTCAGGGATACAAGTCTTACTAATTAACCTATACCTAGAGACAGAAGTGGTTGATTTAAAACTAATCAGAATTTGCTAAACAAACAAGAAATTATAAAGTGGGGGATTAATTCTATATTACAATCAATATATAAATTGATCCCCCAATTTATGGCCACGGTAGTTTCCATGCATTTATATTCCAGGGAATCTAAATCAATCTAAAATCATGCGTATTTAGCTAATCAGTATTTCATTGATTGAATAATTTGTTTTTTTACGCCTTATCAACCCATTGCAGGTTATTTAAAGCTTGAAAATACTTTTAGATTGTAAGAATTTTTTTCTTGTCGATAATAATGATTTAAGGTTACACGTCTTAGTAATTAACCCATAACTGGGGAGAAGAGGTGGAGTCATACCTTCCCCAAGGGTATTTGCCCGTAAGTGATTATAACAAGCCCAACAGGAAATGGCCTCGCGATTAACAGACCCGTCATTAACAATTTCCGATCCATTACACCAGGTGCACATCCATGCTTACAGCACCTTATTTTAAGCCGGTCACTCATCTAGATACTGTGCAGGATCGACGTTGCTTAACTTCGGTGATTGTAGGGGAACCGATGTTTCAACCTGATATGGACTTAAGCCTTACTAAAAGACAACTGTACATGTGGAAGGACATGTTTTATTCTTTTTTTTTTTTTTTTTGGCATTGTTTTCTCATTTTGTGATAACAATTTCTTTTTCTTGTTGAGATGCAAAACCCAGTTTTCATCACCTCTAGCAATGTGATGCAAAAGTTAACATTCCTGGTTAAAAGACTATCGAAGATGGTGGAACGTTGCTACATTTCTTCATTATACTCTGGAATGCCTTATGAACGACACTATTGTATAGACGTGGTGATCAACTAGTTCTAGATGTTTTATCTATCTATCTATCTATCTATCTATCTATCTTCATATTAATTCTGTTTCATCTCAGTAGGTTCATGTCTGACTCAGGCTATTCATATCTATCTATCTATCTATCTATCTTCATATTAATTCTGTTCTGTCTATATATATTCATGTCTGCCTCAGTCTATACATATCTGTTATTTTCTATCTGTATCTGTCTATACACAAGGACACATGGCACAGTGGATAAAGGCGTTGGTTATATCCAGGGACAGGCCCCAAAGAGTGTGAGTTCAATACTCGTTTAAGGTAGTGGGGAACTTTCAGGGGGAAATTAACAGGAGATGACTGATAACTGACATCCATTAAAAATGGCACGTGGAACTAGAACAGTCTACACCAGTGAGCGAAATAAAGGGTTCAGTTCGACATTCCAACCACCTGAAGGCCGAAGCGTACAAAAGCCGAAACGTTGTAATAAATATGGCGACAAAGATGAGGACAATAGTCCGAATAATGTAAATAATGTATTTTCGATCTTCATATTAATTTTGTTCGATCTCAATAGGTTCATATCTGACTCAGTCTATTCATATCTATTATTTCCTATCTATCTATCAGTTCTGTTCTATCTATCTATCTATCTATCAGTTCTGTTCTATCTATTTATCTATCTATCTATCAGTTCTGTTCTATCTATCTATCTATCTATCTATCTATCTTCATATTAATTCTGTTCTCTTTATATATGTTCATGTATGTCTCAGTCTATTAATATCTGTTATTTTCTATCTTCATCTTAAACATTTTCATTCGTTATTTTTTCCAGTTTTTCTCTCCCCGTTTTTGTTTTTTTCTTTTTTCTTACCTCATGTTTTTCTCTATTTCCACCATTTTTTCTCTTTTTCATCAACTCCTCTCTCTCTTTCCACAGCTTTATTTTATACTTTCGTTCTTTTTACATTTCTCACGTCGTTTTGTTATCTCTCTATCCTCTCTCTTTACCCCGCATTCTCAAATCTTTTCCCACCCTCTCCTTTTCTCTTTCTCTCTATCCCCTTCTTTTTCTTCTTCTTTCAAAAGTCTGTCTTCTTTTTTATTTTAATTTTTCTCACTATAACATGCTCAATCGACCCTCATCGCGATCCTTCTTTCTCGCTAAAATCTAGAGATTTTTTTTACCTATAAAATAAAAAAGCAAAAACAAAAAAAAAAAAAAGAAAACAATTCAAAAACAAACAAGAAATGGAGACGAAAGTATCCATCGAAGTCGTCGTAATATTTTTTTTTTTTCTACACTCGTGATTACAGAAGCATAAAAATAAGTTTCCATCAAATAAAAAACTAAATGAATCAGCGAAATAACTTTACGATCATTAACCCGGAACTGAAAACGAGGTTGTGAACAGCTTAAAGAAACTGGCGGGAATGGCCATTGCGCTTTGACACACGGCAAGATCAAAACAACTCGAAGAGTTGGGGTTGGTTGCAAAAAAAAGCCACAAGAGAAACCCTTGCCAGGTTTTGAGATCTTGCTAAAAGAGTCAAGATGAAGAGGCTAGGGAGGAGAGATTTTGTTTCACAATAACAACAGTACGAAGAAAATACATGAATAAAGAAAGAAACGAAAGTGGAAAGGAAGCGGAAATAATGGCGCAGCCATGTTTATCAATTATTTCGATGAGACTTATGTGAATACAAAGAAACGGTTACCACAAAATTTTGTTGTTCATCCTTTTCATTATATTTTTCCTTTGTAAACATAAAAACTTTTTTATGCTTTCTCTTTCATCAATTATTATTATTATTATTATTATTATTATTCCCCCTCTGCCTTTTCCTTCTTCTTTATCCTCATCTTCTTCATTTTCTACTTCTCCAACCTATTCATCATCATCTTCTTCTCATTCATTATTATTATTATTATTATTATTATTATCATTATTATTATTATTCCCCTCTGCCTTTTCCTTCTTCTTTATCCTCATCTTTTCATTTTTACTTCTCCATCCTATTCACCATCATCTTCTTCTTCTCATTATTATTATTATTATTATTATTATTATTATTATTATTCCCCTCTGCCTTTTCCTTCTTTATCCTCATTTCCTTCATACTCACCAGCATCATCCTCTTCGTCCCATATTCCCCTCTGCCCTTTTCTTCTTTATCCTCCTCTTCTTAAGTTTCAACTTCTTCATCCTATTCATCATCAACTTCTTTCCATTATTATTATTATTATTATTATTATTATTTCCTTTGGTTTCTGGTGTATACTCATTTCTTTCCGGGTCCCGGACAGAAACCTAAGGTCAGAAATGGCATCATGACATTTTTCCACTGGGCAGTTTTGAAAAAAAAAGCACATATTTGAGACAGATGAAGTCCTTCGTAAGGTTTAGGTTGCACTTGTTAGTACAATTTTTTGTATTTTTTTAGGCATATTCTACCAGAGATTCCTTCAATGAACCTATTAGAATCTTTTCCAATCAATTCGAGGGCTCCAACTACAACAGGCATTGCTATTATCCATATGCGCCACATTTTTGAGATTTCGATTTCAAAGTTCTTATATTTTTATAGTTTTTTATAGTTTTTTTTTTTATCTTCAAAGATACATTGGCTTTGATTGTTGTGTCTGTGTGTATTGTAAAGTCCCATAAAATTGTAACAGGTCCTATCTTCGTAACCGAGTCTGGGTGGTGTTCATACCAATTGTTTCTGGATATTTATCACAGAATATGTATTTCGGGTTAACACAATCTTTCATTATGTGAGTGTGGTAATCTCTGTTTAGCAAGTATTGGTCTTGTGCAGCAAGAATAAAAACTTCGGCTTCAGCTTTTAACCCTGCACTACGTAACCATCATGCCATTTTCCACTGAGCATTGTTTTTAAAGAAAAAAAACAAACTAAGATTACATATTTTATATAGATAAACCCCTTCGTGTCAGCTGTACATTTGAGTACAATTTTTTGTATATCATTAAAGCTTCGGTTACCAGGGATCCCTTCAATGAGACCATCGGAACCTTTTCCAATGAAACCGAGGCTTCCAAGTACAACTGCAATTGTTGACGTCCTCACGTGACTCATTTTTGAGATTTCGATTTCAAGGTTCTTGTACTTGGATAGTTTTTGAAGATTTTCAAAGATACATTGCAGTCTGCAGAGACTGCCATATCAATACGGGGACAATTCTTTTGTTTACGGTCACTAATCACGATGTCTGGGCGGTTACCTTTGATTGTTCTGTCTGTGTGTATTGTAAAATCCAATAAAATTGTTACAGGTCCTATCTCCGTAACCGGGTCTGGATCGTATTCATACCAATTTCTTGCAGTTTACTTTCCGTAAGTTGCAAGGAATTGGTATGAAATACCAGCCATTATTATTATTATTATTATTATTATTCACCTCTGCCTTTTCCTTCTTCTTTATCCTCATCTTCTTCATTTTCTACTTCTCCATCCTATTCCCCATCATCTTCTTCTTTCCATTATTATTATTATTATTATTATTCCCCTCTGCCTTTTCCTTCTTCTTTATCCTCATCTTCTTCATTTTTTACTTCTCCATCCTATTCACCATCATCTTTTTCTTCCCATTATTATTATTATTATTATTATTATTATTATTATTCACCTCTGCCTTTTCCTTCTTCTTTATCCTCATCTTCTTCATTTTCTACTTCTCCATCCTATTCACCATCATCTTCTTCTTTCCATTATTATTATTATTATTATTATTATTATTCCCCTCTGCCTTTTCCTTCTTCTTAATCCTCATCTTCATTTTCTACTTCTTTTTTCAATAATTATAATGATGTTCAGAACTTGATTACATTTTACCAGAAAGAATATTAAAACAAATTCACGTTAAATTTATTTAAATACTATTTAATAGTTTTAAAGAAATCTGTTGTTTTTTGGGTTTTTTTTTTTTTTTTCGTAAAGAATCTTTTAAAAGACTTTTTCAAGTTCTTTGTTTCTCAATATTATTCTTTTCTTAATAATATTGTACGCTTTCAACTCTATATCAGTCATCAGGTAAAGGAGGTAATTCGCTATTTATAACCTTTTTTTATGAATTTTAAAATAAAAACATTGAGAAATATTCTAATATAAAGTCATTTTTCTCCAAAATTATGGATGCTGTGTAATATCTAACAACAGGAAACTATCTAAATCCTCGAGGGGGATTCAAATTCCCGTCTAAAACTGCATTCAATTCGTACTACAACCAATGTTTTCTCCCTCTTACCCAATAGGTTTAAAATGGCCGGTACGAGGGAGAAAATAGCAGGACAAACTGGTTTCTCAAGCGTTGGTTGGTAATGCGTCTAGGGATGTGACAAATATGAATTCTAAATCAGGACTGAAATCCGTTCCTCTTCTTCGGTGAGCGTGAAAATCGACCTGATGAAGTATGAACTGTGCAAAGGCTGAAAAACGATCGAAATCGGGTTTTCATAATCAATTTTTTTCATTTATTAAATACGTTAACCTTGAAAAATCAACAGAAACAAAACGTGATGCTTTGATCCAAGAGGAATTTTAATATCGAAAGTTCAGTTAATCATCGAAATTTAATAAACATTTCTGTACTTATGGCATTGATGATCGAATTTTATTAAAGTGTTTATGCCATGAAGAATAAAAGCATTATCATCTATCTATCTCTATATCTATATACATACATATATATATATAATCTGTTCATATCAATATATCTATCTCTGATCTTTATATATATATATATCTGTTCATATCAATATATCTATCTCTGATCTTATCCATATCTGTTCATATCAATATATCTATCTCTGATCTTATCCATATCTATTCATATCAATATATCTATCCCTGATTTTATCCATCTCTGTTCCTATCTATCTATCTCTGTTCATATCAATATATCTATGATCTTATCCATCTCTGTTCATATCTATCTCCGATCATTATCTATCTCTGATCTTATCCATCTCTGTTCATATCTATCTATCTATGTTTATATTAGTATATATATCTCTGATCTTATCCATCTCTGTTCATATCAATCTATCTATCTATCTGTCTGTCTTTCTCTCTTTATATCAATATATCTATGATCTAATCTATCTCTCTTTATATCTATCTATATATGTTCATATCGTAGATAGGTACATAGATAATGAAGCAATTGAGATAGGTAGATAGAAAATGAACTCACTGAGACAAATAGCAAATCTGAATAGAGTATTAAAGATATTATCTGAGGATTTGTTCCTGGATATTTAGACAGGGTGAGGAGTATGGAAGAAATAGAATGAGAGAAATGTAAACAAATTTCTCACAATTTATCGAAACCGATTCAAATGAAGACAGGAAGGAAAGCAGATGAGGGCAAAGGTCATCTACTTTTTGGACTTGACGTGGCTTAATGATTGTTTAGAAAAGTCAGCCGTTGTCTGATCTCCAAACATCTAGAAAACTGGGAAAATAAAGCATGAGTGTTCATTTGCTGGTGATTGCCTATATGCGCAGAAAACATACACGCACAGACGCACACTGATAGATAGATAGATAGATAGATATGAACAGACATAGTTGTAGATGTAACATGTAGACATAGAGAAATACAGCAAGTCCTAAATGTAAATAGAGGTCATATATATATATATATATATATATATATATATATATATATATATAAAATTAAAATATCTATAAGAACACCGGCATACATATCTGTTCTTTCTTTTTATTTGAATATATATATATTTATATATATATATATATATTGTGTTTGTGTATTTAGGCAGCATTTTTGATGAATGAAAAACACCATATTGATGCATGTTTTTTAATCCTATCTAAGTTTCGGCTTACATAAGCCATTATCAAAGATGACAATTACAATTCAATTTATTAAACAATACGCGGACAAAACAATAATGATAGTCTGTTTGTGTTGCATGAAAGATTTCCAAGCAATGACAAACTCGTGTATACGAGACGCGGAAGCGAAAATCGCACCGCAGTTCGTGACGTCACACATGACCACGCGAGAGTGAAAACGAAAAGTATTAAGTATGGGAAGCCAATGTTAGAAACCAATGGCTTCTGTTATCAATTATAGGCATTTAAGTATATTTGTGGAGATTTCATAGTTTATTTTGTTCAGGTTAGGTTTCAACTGTTTTATGTATATAGCTTCAAGAATTTTTAGTTTGGTGCTTTTCTTTCAATGATAATGTTATTAAGCTTATCAGACAATATGATTCACTTAAAATAAATAGACAAAACTTGTCTATATTATTTAATGAAACATGCATCAAAAAAAAATATATATATATATATATATATATATGTGTGTGTGTGTGGAGAAAAATAGAAGAAAATCGAAGAAGTACGATTAATTTTTCCAGAAAAAATTCCAAATCCAAAGAGAGAAAATGAAAATGATTCGAAATAGAGAAAGAAGTAAAATTGAGGAGAGAGATAGATATAGAGAAAGATAGATATAGAGAGAGATAGAGAGAGAGAGAGATAGAGAGAGAGAGAGATAGATATAGATGTTTGAAGTAGCAAAGTGGTTTTTGGACGACTGTAACCGAGTAGGACAATCTAGCAGGGAACCGTTATGGACTGGTCCTAGTCGTAGTGGTAGGCAATAAGCGAAAATTATAGGTGTAGTCCATAAGCGTCCTGTACCTCCATATCGGTCTGTATTTATGGCTGACACCAGCCAATCATATTACTGTGAGGGGGAACCCAGGTCTATGCATATTCATTCCATCAATATATATATATATATATGGAAACCCCTTCAAAAGTGAACGTAGTACCACAAAACTACGAATTTGGTGACAATTCATATTACGGATAATTACAGTAAATAATTTTTCTGTATTTATATATATATATATATATATATATATATATATATATATATATATATGAATAAAAATGACAATAGGAAAACTTGTAATTGCTGACGCGTTTCGTCCAATGTGGACTTTATCAAAGCAAAATACGAAAATGAAATTAATCGAAGAAGGTAACTAATAAAAACAAAAACAGAATGTACCTAGCAACTGGAATGTAGAGAAACGCTATTTTCATATTTTTAACTGAAAATAACGTCAGTATTTGTCCCGTGCCTTTTTTCTTGCGTTGTGGATGAAATGATATGGGTATTGTAGGTTTTTGAATGTGTTTTCTATGTATGTTTCTTCTTTAAATAAATATTGGGGACTACAGATTTTACGAATCCTCTGTACTTGACACACAAACACTCTGAAATTTTCGTATTGGAACTTCCGGCGCGAATGCCAAGCAGTACAGCATGCCGTTTCTAAATTTCTGGCGAAGTGAATTACGTCATAGTGTTCTTTTTCTCACAGACGGTGCCCAACTGACCCTACTATACTGTGCAGTCAACAAAATTAAAAACTAAGAATGCGCATGCGCGAAATCAAAAATATAAAATGGCGCACAATTTACCCATCGCACCCGTGTGTGTGTGTATATATATATATATATATATATATATATATATATATATATATGATCCTAGTGAGCCAGGAACTAACTACCTAGGTTTCACCTAAATGGTTTTTCAGGGTAAGAAGATCCATTTAGTTAAAACCTAGGTAGGTAGTTTCTGGCTCACGAAGATTTTTTATACTCTGCTCTTAGTTTAGTGAGCACTTTACGTTTTTCTTATTTTAATCGATTGTTTTTTTTTTATTTTGAGTAGAAATCATGACACTCGAGGATTTTGTGGGGGGCTACTCGGATGTTTTTAATCTTTTCTTGTACTATCCGGGGTTTTTTTTTTTTTGACACCAGTCGAGTATAGTTATTAACATATATATATGTGTGTGTGTGTGTATTTAGGCAGCAATCCTTCTTTCATGTACATTTCAATTAAATGACAGACAAGGTGCTTTTATTTAGTTTTTTTGTACAATTTTATAGAAATTGTATAAAAAATAAATAAAAGTACCTAGTCTGTTTTTTTTGTTTTTTTTTCAATGAAATATCTGTGTGTGTGAAAAAACTGCATATTCGGTAGCAAATGTACGTTAGGGAGATTGATGTACTCGAATGCAATCATTCTACCAGTAGGAAGAATCTTGTACTTCAGCGCCGTTCGGGTTGAATTGTTAATGAAGGAGCCCAGGATCCCCAAGCCATTATTATACGGGGAATTAGCCGAATGAATACAAGCCAAAATTGAAGTAACCCAACGAAGAAGGCCATCATCATTCCAAAATGAAAGGGGGAAACCTCGTCTCTGTAAGACAGACTTTGAACAGAATCGTGTTGCTCATGAAAAACTCAGGAGAGATACCGCTAATGGATTTGATGTTTATATCCCTGGAAATTTTGCCGCAGAACTTGATCTAAAGAGTAATGAATGCGAGGACAGGCATCAGAAATCATCAAAGCCGTCACTTGCAGAGAAGACATTCATTAACATCTGATGCGATATTTTTATTAATGATGCATCCATTAATTTTTACCTTTTTTTTTATATGTGGTTGTGTCGATTATATTTGCGGATAGAGTCTAGCAGGTACCCACGTGTATTTAAATGAAATCTAATTTAGTTATGGTCACAGGAGCTGTAGTATGAGACTTCTTTTTAAACATGTTGTAGTATATTCATTATAATATAATAAATATAATTTATTTATGAAATTGGTTTGACCAATAACACATTTCCTTAAGGTACAATTCGTAAATAATATTGGTTCTCTGTCACTTGGATCTTGAACCTGAATTGTTGTTGT